GTGTGTGTGTGTGTGTGTGTGCTTGAAACTAACCACACCTATCTCTCTCTCTCTCTCTCTCTGTGTCAGAGTTGAAGGTGGACATCAGTCGGCCGGTGAGAGTCAGTCCCACTCTGGTTAAGATTGAACAGGCGAAGGTCTTCTAGAAGAGACTCTTTCCTGAGAGGGAGCCCAGAACACCTGCAGGCTCCACCCACTGCTGCAGCGAAGCCCCGCCCACAGCCGACCTGCTGCTGCACTCTCTGCAGTCGCCCGTTCCCTTCCACAAGATCTCGCTGCGCACGGTGCAGATGGTGGTCGGTCTGGAGATGGAGGCGCATGCGGCGCGGCCCAGTCTGACGCTGTCTGTGTCGGCCATGACGGGTGCTCTGACGCTGAAGAACGCCGCCAAACCCGCAGGTTAGCCGCATGCACGCCATGCATTTCCTGTGATTCATGTGCTGTGTGTGTTTCTCTTGATTGGGCCTTTAATCCAGCTCCCTTCTTCTTACCAACAATGCACTGTAGCAGATAATCAGAGCTTTTGTTTGATTTATGCCGCCCGGAAATCCAGTTAATCTCCCTGAGCCTTTAACAGGGCTGAGCAGATCCACAGGAAGTGGGTTCAGCAGGAGACGCAGATCTGATGTCTGTGAGGAGGTCTCCCATGATGCAGTGCTGTGAGTGCTTACCAGGCCCATATGAGGATGATGTTGCCGGGGGGCCTGAAGAAGACTTAAAATTACTTCAAATAAAGCATTAAAATAAGTTCAAACGGCTAAACCTCAATGATATTTCTTATGTAAATTCACCAACTCAATTCAACAACTGTCTATTGTTTCAGAAGAACAGAAGATTTTAAAAGTGATTTCTAGGCCTGGAAAAGTCATGGAAATTCTGAAAATGCAGTGGCCAATTTTAGAATTAATGAATAAAATATCATAAAAATATTAATATTATTATAAAATATTAAAATATATCAGTAGAATTTTTGGTTACACTTTATTTTAAGGTGTCCTTGTTACAGTGTACTTATACATTTAACTGTATCATATTAATTAAGTACATGTACTTACTATATGGTTAGGGTTAGGGTTTGGTTTAGGGTTACTTGTATGTAATTATGCATAATTAATTGCTATTAAAATAGTAAGTACATGTAACGTGTAACAAGGACACCTTAAAATAAAGTGTTGCCCTTTATTAAACTAATGTAACTGATTACATTTGATTACTTTTTGATTACTTTTCTAAATTTCTAATGACATTTTATGCTGGCAGGGTTAACTTCAGAATAGCATCACTTTACTAAATGGCCTTTAATGGCAGGAGGCATCGTGCACATCAAAAACAGGCAAAGGATCAAATTAATTTTATTCAACAAATCCTAGCTTTTTACAGAAAATATTCAGATGTAACCTCGTTTGTAATCATTAACATTTAAGTAACTAATTTAATTACACACTTTTTTTCAGTGAATGTAATAGATTAAAGTTACATTTAGTTTGTAATTAAATTACGTAATTCCGTTACATGTAACTAGTTAATCCCCAACACTGGCAACTTGATCCATCAAATGTATTTGAGTGTAAACTAATTTAACAAAATCCTAGTGCTAAAATATGGATGGCATCATATTTACTGATGCACTGAGTGTCACAGCTTAATGTCGCAAAGGAGGAAGCCAATGCAGGGAAGTGAGCAGTTGCGGGGCCCATCTCTTGCCATTAGGTTTAGCTATTCTCTGAGAGCTGTCAACAGAAGGACCGTTGA